CGGAAGAGGGCGGGGAGGACCCCCCCCCCCGCCACTGGAAACGCCTGACAGCTGAGGCTGCCCTGATGCTGCGGAGCCTGCTGGCACTAGATCCTGCCAAGCGCAGCCCTGTCAGTGGGGCACTACGCTACGTCGATTGCCCTTGGCGGCTGGAGGATGGGCACAGTGAGGAGGCTGCGGTGAAACCCTAGAGCCTGCTCCCCGTGGTGGGAGGGAAGGGCAGGTCTCACCTCGCGAGAGCCTTCGGGGTCTTGGTGGCCCAGGTGCAAGACACCCAGACAGCAATTTCTCAGCAGCACTGTCCTTGCTGCCATGGAGCCAGGCTCCCTCTGCACCTGATGGTCCCCACCCCATGGCTCAGTGCTGCCCAATGCCACCTTCTTGTGCTTCCTGAGGGCTTGAAAACATCTCCTTTCTCTTGGAAACGGCTGTCTGTATGTGAAGCTCCCACTTGCTTCTTGGCCACAGGGTCTCCAGGGTGGTTTCTATGAGCTGCAGCACCTGCCTTGTCATCAAAATAGAGTATGTACTTTTGTGTTTCTGTATGTATCTCTTTTTACCCTTACAATAAAATGCCTGTGGGGGTCCATTTGCTGTGGGAAAGCAGGGGCGTTACTGAGCCTGTGACCATCTCAGGACCTGTGCGAGGCAGAGGCCACCTTCAGATGTTGCTTGGGTCTCCACCAGGTCTCTTGAAGGGTGGCTTCATGTGGATGGGGTGGAGGGTCTGAGGATGCCCCAGCATGTGGCTGTGGATGCTAATCAGGAACGGATGATGCCACTGAGAAGACAGTGGGAGCCATGGGGGTGGGTTATTGCAGAGAGCCACAGGGACTCACACATTGTAACTTACCCACTGCCATGCCTCCACCTCTAGTTCCCTTCACTCAGGAAAATGGCGTTCTTGAAACACCGGCAACTCTGTTGAAGCACAATTCACCCCTCTCCCGCCTTGAATGGCTTAGGTGCAAGTGGAAAGGTGAACTGCCACAAACATCCACCTGTACGATTCGGCTGACAAGACAGTAGCATTGTGAGGGTGGCTTGCATTGGTATCACTGGAAAAGGCTAACAGAAGACCTGTAACCACAGGGCACATAAATTTATCTGTACAAATACAAAAATTTCTACGGTTATACCTCCGAGCAGTCCTACACCATTGTCTTGCTCTCACTCCTTACCCAGACTGACTTCTCCCTCCTCACAGAGCCAGTCCCTCTCTGTATGAGCCTCCACTACCATTTCTTCTCTGCTTCTACTCTTCTGAATCCTTCAGTCCCAATGAACCATTCTGAAGACTATCAAACTCCAGCCTAAGGACACCTCCTCCCTTGCACTGCCTTCAGGTCCTAAGAAGCCTGCTCATCCCTCTAGATGACCTTTTTTCTCCCATTTCCCAACACTACTTTAACTCTTACCCAGCAACATTCCTTTCCTAAAGTCCCAGCATCCTTCTGGGTACACATTTTTATAATGGAAAGAGATAGAAAGGAGAGAATTAGGAGTTAGAAGCTCTTCTTTGCTACCTCTTTCCAGTCCCCAGGATTGTGCCATTGGTAAATGTCTTCTAGCTCTTAGCACGATCCTGTTGTAAACATCCCCAGCTCCTTTTTTCATTCTCAGTGACTTTATAGTTTCTAAAAATGTACTGCTCCAGCACCATACGTTCTAGCATCCCAACTTTTATTTCACCTCAGATCCTTCTCTCCACAAGCTCTTCTGTAGTTCCCCAACCTCCAGCTCCCTCTCCAGGTTCTTCTCACCCACTGGCATTTTGCTCTTACTTATTTTGCACACTAAAATTCCCTTTCTACTACCAGTCAACTGGTAAGCACCTTTTGCTCTTTCCTCTCTCAGCAACAGCATCTCCATGCTACACTTTTGTATTTTTTCTGCTCCCTATATTGCTTATCCCGTGTCTTCCTTCCAGCTCCCCACCCTATCTTATGAACAAGCATCCTGCGCACCCTGTTCAAGATACAGTTTTCTTCATCCATTTCCACCTTGAAGAATCTTTCATTACCCAAAACCATAATAAATGCTGCTGAGATTTAACTTTAATTAGTCTTTGATTACTGTAGGAATAGCAGAGGAGTGGTAAGGTACCAACACAGTTCCGGTAATTCAAATGAAGAATCCCTGAGACAAAGGGATCTATAGGCCAGGTAGCTGACAACTATCAGGTGAAAAATAGTAGAAAGTCTGATACAGGCATTAGCTAACAGAAAATAAAAACCAGGAATGTGGCTTTGTGGAATGTGACATGCGCCATTCTATTTGATAATAAATATGTGTTTGATAAAGTAAATTCATAGCATTATGGTACGCATTTTTTTTCTGAGGCATGACCTACTGATATAAAGAAAATTACAGTATGCTGTATTGATTAAGATTTACTGTGCAAAGTCAATAAAGCGTACATTAAGCAAAGAGAGAACTTTCAATGGACAGGAGAAATAATTGTCAGTTGGCAATGCTCTTTGGTTATTTTGGTTGGTTTCTGCAGGGATCAATAGTCGAATGAAAACTGGTCAATATTTCTAGCAATGATCTGAACGTAAATGTAGAACTACTGCAAGTAAAACCCTGCAGATTACACAAATGTGGATAGGGTGATAAACATCAAGAGGAACAGGCCACTTGAAGAGATAACTTGGTTAAGTTGGGTGTATTCAAACAAAATACATTTTCTTAGAGGCAGGGGAAATGTATTCAAATAGAAACATAGGAATAAAAGCTGTCCTTACAGAAGGATCCTTGAAAAAACTTTGCAAGTCTTAGAGCATACGCAAGTTTGTGCGAGTTGTGTTAGAATGTCAGAAACGGATAACGAAGTACTTGCATATCCAAAGAGGGGCAGACACTCAAGGTGGTCAAATCTCCAGCAAAGGCAGCTAGCAAGTTTCCTGCTGGCCTGAATAGGACTGGGAAGTAATAGTGAGTGATCAGTGTTTGGTGCCTCACAGGGCAAGCTGGAAAGCTGGAGAAGGTTCAGAAAAGAACCATGGTGGGTCTGTGGTTTCAGGCTATAAAAACACCTTCTTAAAGAAAGTAATGAGATAAACTATCTAAAACAGAAAGAGTGAATGGTGATTTGGTTATGGTATAGAATACTGGGAAAAAAATGCCTACTCCTTATGACCTCTTTTAATAGGAGAAACACTCTTTGTTGCAGCTGGAGATGTGTGGGGCTCCCAGCATCTCTGCTCTGGAACTGCCCAGCGTGGTGGGCAGTGGTCTCAACAGAGCTGGGCACAAGATGCGAAACTGGCTCGACAAGAAAGGATTAGAGAGATTTTAGAATTTGCTTCAAATTAAAAAAAACCTGAAGTGAAGAAATGCTGTCATCTTTAGGGAAACAAATCAAACCATCCAATTCCATCAGGATCAAGGCTGGTTTTTTTTGTGGAAGCCAATCATACCAATGAGGATCAGGGGTTCGGTGCTGCCTGGCAAAGATGAAGTGACAGGCTACTGGCAGCGAGCAGTGGTGATGACCAGAATTGTTTCTCTGTCTCTTTTATAACAGAGTCTGGAGACTTTGGCAAAAGGGGTTTCTGCTGCCAGAAAGCTGTGTGATATGTAGCTACAGGTGATGAAATCATCACTCTGACCACATTGTGTATGTGATGGTGGTGCAAAAAGCATTACAGTGAAGCAAGCACAGCAGTGAGCACAAGGGCAAAAGCCCTGCCCTGACACGAGTGCCCAGCCTGGGCTCCCTTTGTCAGTGTCTTACTCCTAATTGCAACTGGATTTCTTAAATCAATGAATATACAGACTTGTTGAAGCCTCTCTCCAGGGGGTCTGAAAAAAGATCTACTTGTCCCCATCACCCCTGCAGCAGCTGCTGGGAGAGGCTGAATGGAAGAGAGCTGCGTGAAAATGCGCTGGCCCTCTGCACGCTCAGCCGCCGGCTGCAGGAGGGCTGGCCAGGCGCCCGGTACTCTAAAGGGCAACATTTCAGCTAATGTAGGCACAAGGTATGGAATGGATCCTGTGTCATCCCCAAATTGGCATCAGGTGGCTGCAAAGGGGAGGGAAAGATGTGGTACTTCTCTGCAGGATGGAATGGCGAGGCTGCAGCCGCTGTGGTTCAAGAATTGTGAATCGAGGCCCTAGTGTCCTGGTGCCTGCAACACGCTGTGTGTGCAGGCTGGGAGCATGGATCCTGTGGCTTTTGGTAGGATAGAATAATAGAATCACTGTGGTTCGAAAAGACATGCAAGATTATCAAGTCCCACCATGAACCCAACACCACCATGATCATTGAACCTTGAGTGTCTTTAAGTGCTACATCTACGCTCTTTTTCAACACCTCCAGGGACTGCAACTACACTACTTCCCTGGACATCCTGTTCCCATGCTTCACCGCTCCTTCAATAAAGAGATTTTCCTAATATCCAATCTAAGCCTTCCCTGGTGCAACTTGAGGCCATTTCTTCTCATCCTGTTACTGGTAACTTGAGAGAAGAGACCAACATCCACCTTACTACAACCTCCTTTCAAGTAGTTGTAGAAAGCAATAAGGTCTCCTCTCAGTCTCCTCTTCTCCAGACTAAACAATCCCAGTTCCCTCAGCCACTCCTCACAAGACATGCTTTCCATGACCCCTCACCAGCTTCATTGCCCTTCTCTAGATACACTCCAGCACCTCAATGTCTTTCTTATACTGCGGTGCCCAAAACACAGGACTCAAGGTGTGGCCCCACCAGTGCTGAGTACAGTGGGACAATCACTTCCCTACTCCTGCTGGCCACACTATTCCTGATCCAGGCCAGGATGCCTTTGGCTTTCTTGGCTAAGTGGGCACACTGCTGGCTTGTATTTAGCCTGCTGTCTACCAACACCCCCAGAGCCTTTTCCACTGAGCAGCTTTCCAACCACTTTTCCCCAAGCCTGTAGTGTTGCCTGGGGTTGTGACTGACATACAGGAACCAGCACTTGGCCTTGTTAAACCTCATACAGTTGGACTCAGCCCATTGATCTAACCTGTCCAGATCCCTCTGCAGAGCCCTACTACTCTCGTGGTCTATGTTTCTGGATCCCTTGTGCACCTCACCATGGATTCTGCTCCCTTTTCTGCACCACACACTTCACATGTCTCCCAAAAAGTCACACTCAGCAACAGTCTGGGAACTCCGATATGGACTGGAACCT